ATTATTCCTCAAAAATACAACTTGCCTAATAATTCTGCACTCCCTGTATGTGGAAGTGAGATCACCAGTTCTGGAAAGTTACAGATGGTGGACGACACCCTGCAGGCGACATTAAAGAGGAAGAGGTTTCTAATAATACTCGAGAAATAAATCTGTTTTTCTGTGCTGAAGACGTTCAGTGATGGAAAACTCTTTGAGTAGAGCTTTTCATCGGTGCTTCATCAGGATGTGATGCTGATAAGGTCACAGTGAAATCATGAGTCAGAGCTCCTTCTGGGGAGGTAAACTGTTTATAGGGATGGGTTTACTTATCTGGGACTCGGTGCAACAGTGTGTCGGTATCTGACGAGTGAGAGTCCATCAGAAGCCTGTAAAAGTCTTTAATGTGACACGTAGCAACAGAAATGAAAACAACATGACCTGTAAACAGAGCATCTCTGCTTACAGACGCCGTACGCGCCGCTTCCAGTGAAAGGCCTGCTGAACGTCAGCAACATGTCCCAGGAGCTTCATTGTCCTGTGAGCTTGATATCAGTGCAGGTTTCAGAGTTAGGATTGAAATTAAACCTTGTGGACAAAAACTTTCTGACTTCCAACGATTTTATGCTATTGGTAAAATTTTGGTCTGTTTGTTGCCAAGAGTACACAAAAATTAGAAATAATGTCTTTTTCTTGGTGGTGATCTGCCTGTGGATCCTTTGTGAGTCAGGACACACTCGTATTGGGCATTTAGTGTCATATCTGAACTAAAATAGGAAAAAGTGGGAGAGATTGTGTTGGTGTTTTAATGTTGTGTCTATGTACAGTACCATCAACGCTGCTCAAGCAGTACCTCCTGGGACAGTTTTTCAATGCAGACTGGCAGAATAAGCATTTAACAAAATAAAACTCTACAGGTTAAAAGAATATATCCTTCGAATTTGAATTTTATTATCTCAACTTCTTACTAGCATAACTAGAATTTAGCTTGTTTTTATGGTCTTGTGGTGCAATAGTTGTTTTACTCTCAACGACAGACATAAGAGTAACTGTTAAAACTGTGAACTGCTGTTTGGTTTCTTAAACATGAGCTACATGCTTCAGTCACGTGTAAATCAACCAGCTTTAGATTCAGATTAAAGAACTTGTGATATAGATTAACTCCAGATTGACGATAGAGAATTCATCCTATGAACTGACTCCAGAATCACATCAGAATTCATCATATGGATTGACTGCACATTCTGAGTGTTGAACTCTTCATTTTTAATCCAAATTCAGTATTTAATTTTATGATATAAACTAACTCCAGATGAAGGGTAGAAGAAGAATAAATCATACGGACTGACTCCGGATTCAAGGCACACTTTTTATTGTGGAGTGACACCATATTTGTGGTTTGGTATCCATGATATGTTGATTAAATCCAGATTTGGGGCAGCGGATATAATCTGAATGGATTTAAGATCAGATTCTTTCCCTGAACTTGTCGAAATGTTCTCCATCTGACACCTGGACCTCCAGCTACTGAGATGAGCTTGTCTTGGCTTTAGATTTTGACCCCCTGGTTGAGCCTTTTCTTTTCAGCTCTGTGGTTTTGACACATGGGAAATTTTGGCATCTACCCTGAAACAACTATTAATAACGGGTATCGGTAACGTGGTTGCTACTTCTGGCCTGCCAAGATTCTCTTTGGCTTAGTCATGACCTGCTTTCATCCAGACATCATGAACGTTGGCCTCATTCAGATTCAATTGGTTGTGACTTGTTTTTTTTTATTATGCGTATGAATGAAGGTAGAAATCACAGCCAGGTGACTGCATTTATCTTCCTGTGATGTGATGCCGAAGCTACTTTTCACTTTCACAGTGAGCACAATAGTTTAACCTGGCTTTGGTCGTAGAGGAGATTTGCTCAGACATGGGAAGGTCTGGCTCTCCAAAGCTTTCCCCCATCGAAAATGCACAAAGAACGAAACTCAGTATTCAGTGCAGCAGTAAAGCTTAAATTGTGGCTCATCAAAGTGTGACTTTTTTCTGCCATCATTGCATTTCTGTTGTCTCACTGCAAAGAGCAGAAAAGCTTTCACCTAGTTTTATGAGGTTTCAACAAGAAAATAAAAGACAGATCTGATTGTTTGAAATTGTTTTGGAAAAATTATATAAAGATAAGATGAAAAATACTGAAAGGATCAATTCAATTGGTTTATTATTTTGTTAAGTAAGTTGAAAAAAAGTTCAACAAACAAGTAAATAAAGAAACAAGGTAAAACAAAGTAAGAACCAAAAGTTAAAGAAACACGTAAATAAAAAAACAGGGTAAAGGAGAGAAAACCCCAACAATCCCCTCTGAGCAAGCACTAGGCGACAGTGGGGAGGAAAAACTGCCTTTTAACGGGCAGAAACATCCGGCAGAACCAGGGTTGGGGGGGGGGATGTCCCTCCTCTGGAAGAAGTGGAAGCTTTTTTTCAGGCACTTTTCCACAAGCGCTTTTTTCTCCAGGATGAGGATTTTCAACTCATCAGTTGTTTCAGCATTTTGCTTCTCGGGTTTCTGGTATATTTGCTGCACATCTTCTAATGTTGCTTGTGTGTCTTCAAGCTTTTCTCTCAGTTCTTTGGATGTTGCCTCGTGCATTAGAGTCATCTTGTGCATGTCTGTACTTCTCTCTTGTGCTTTGTTGTGCATGTCTTCTAACTGCTCATTTCTTCTTTGGATTTCTTGAAGTGTACGCTGCAGGTCTTCATTTACTTTCTCTTGTTGTTGCTTTTGTGCCTGCATTTCTGTGTTTTCACTCTTGAAGTCACTGAAGTTCAACAACATCCCCTTAATGAGCTCCGAGTTGTTTCTCGCTATTCCGTTGATCCTACGCTGCATCTCTAAACATCGTTTTTCCAGTTTTTCCTTTTCTCCTTTCAGTTCAGTTGTTTTGTCCTTCATTTCATCACAGAATTGTTGCAGTTGTAGGTTTTTCCTCTCAAAGTCCTGGAGAATAAATTCTTCTTCTTCCTGTCTTTTCTTCTGTTGCTCTTTTTCTTGAAGAAGCTCTTCATTGTTTCACAGTGTTTGATCAAGCCTGACTTTCAGCACTTTGTTTTCTCCCTCCACGCCTTTGAATTTGCGCTCCATTTCTCTCTGCTTTTTGTCCTGTTCTTCCTTCTGTTGGAGGATTTCTTTATTTTTTTCCCCAGCGCTTCATCAAGCTTTGCTTCTTCTCTTGGAGAAATGTATCACCTCAGGCAGCGTAATCTTTTTTGCTTAGTTGGCGTTTTTGTGGATACATAGTCTGTACACAGCGACTCTGAGAAGGTTTCCAAATGTATCTCTGGTCAAACGTTTGAAGGCTGCGAACACAACTGCTGTGAACAAATCAACTAAAAATGCTGCGTCTCACTCCCCTTTTGTCCTTGTGACATCATCACTCTGTAAGCCAATGAGATTGTCCCATAACATTTTGGAATGGGAATATTTTTTTAAATTGTTTTTTAAAGTTAACTTAATATGGTCACTTAATATGGATGGACCATCACTGGTCATCAGGTGTATCAATTTACCGTTGAAGAGCCGCGAGCTTCTCCAAGATCTTTCCATTAATGGGTTTAAGAAACCTCGTTACAGGATGCAGTTTCATAAATTGAGGCATGAATGTGACTTCTTCCTCCTACTAAGGATGCTTAAATGTCCTCATTGTCTACGAGGGTCACAAAAAACAAACTGTTTGAAAAAGTGTTTAAACCTTTCTAAATTGTTAATTCATTGTATTATATCTTGTTTTTCTTTTTCTCATGAGTCATGTAAAAAGTCCTGAGAGGAATGTGCACTGTTTTTCTTGGTTCATTCAATTGGTGATTGTCTAATCGATGACTGAGCAACATCATTTGCACAGTTCCACCTACAAACCAATCACTGTCAAAT